TCCCTCTCTTTCTTCATTTTTTCCAAGTCTACTTCAAGAGCTTGTTTGTCTTGTTTCAGTCTTTTGATGTCTTCCAATAAACTGTTTTTTTCTTTCTTGATATTCAAAGAAATGCAAAAGCAAGTTATTTCCAACCACAATAATTGTGGAATAGTTTCTCCTTCACCCAATCTATCAAAAAATACTGCTGTGAAATATTTTTCCTAAATTTTAGCTCTGATGTTATTTACTACCACCAGCCCTACCCCAGAATCATTAATGGCTCCCCATAGCCTGTTAGAATCAGTTCTAATCATCTCAGCATAGCATTAAAGACCTTCCAATCTATTGTTCTAACTTCTTCTATATAGTAACCATATTGATGACTGACTAATTCTCCTGCCTAAATTGCTGCAATAACCTTCTAACTAGTCTGTCTCTTCTACTCTCAGCCCTTACAGTCTATTCTCCTCACAATAAAGGAATTGTTGTGGAGAGTCAGTTATTATCACTCCTCTATCTGAAACTCTGTTGGCTCCTCTCAAGGTTAACCCAAAGTCCTTACTATGACCTTCAGTGTCATATAACCCAGCCTTGCCCATGGCTGACCACATTGCCTATAAATCTTACCCCTCCATTCCATTTTAGCCAGAGACCTTTTTGCTGTTCTTTGAATACCCCTAGCACCCTGCTGTAACAAGGGGTTTGTACTGTCTCATCTGCCTGCAGCACTCAATCCCCAGACAGCCAGCTAGCTCGCTCCTTCCCTTCATCAGGATTTTTGCTCAAATGAAACCCAGGAAGGCCTTCCTGACCACCCTAACTAAAACAGCAAGCCCCATCCTGGTCCTCAGGCACACTGTTTCATTTTCTTCTCACAGCACTCATCACCACCTAATATATTACCTATTTATTTGAAAGCAGGATTTAATTTCACTAACACTTATATCATAAATACATAAAAAATCCTTGGAACATCCAAAAAAAAAAGTAAAGGATTTCTCAATATGCCCTACATTCCACACTACTCTCAATAGCTTGAAGCACTATGCCTATTCTTCTGCTTGACAAAAATCATACTTACCCTTCAAAGCTCAGTTCAAATTAAGCTAAGCTATTTCTGTTAATTCCCTCTTCTGTGCTCCCAGACTTCTGTTATACCTCTAGTGTATAGCATTTATTACTTTCTGTTTCATATGATACTGATTTGTGTACATTTCTCTTTATTAGGTTGAAAGCTCTATGGGGACCAAGACTGTGACTTAATTACTTTCTGTTTACTTTATGGTATTAAGCACATGGCATGTACTCAATAAACGTACATTGAACTGAACTCACAACTGCTGAAGAAACTGCTGGACTCATGGCAGTACACTTGGTATAGTTAAGTTTCAAAATGACAAATTCTTACAAATTCTGTATTATACTACTTTACAATTTAAAATTCAGTCTTACAAAGAAAACAAGGGCATTCATAAAGCATTGTATAATCTTGGTTTCTAGCTGCACCACAGATTTAACTGCATCATTTCATTATTTAATCTGTGTGATCTGTAGATGTCTTTTTCAGGAGATTATTTACCTTCCAGTTTTTGAATGCTCAGGTATCTTTTTGCAAATACCTTCTGTTCAATTAGTTCAATCCATTTAGAAATGCTCTCTTCAGCAGTGCCTACTTTATGGAAGTACAGAATTTTCTTATTCAAAGGAACTTTAAACATCTTGAGTTCAATCATACAATCAATGCTTAAATGGATGTCCACAACAGGCTGGCATATGTCCAGGGATCGAGACTGTCCATCTTCAAGAAAGCTAGTATGCCCCATGTCAACCAATCCTGTGGGCCACAGGGGTTTTGGCTGGCAAGTACTTTCCCTCCCTTGTAAGTCACTGTGCAGACGTTCAGAGAGGTCTCTGCCTGCCTCTCTGACCTTATCTTCCACCACTCTTCTCTTTACCCACTTCTGCCTCAGAGGCCTTTGCTCTGGGAAGGTAACACATTCTTGACTCAGGACTTTTGCACTTGCTCTTCCCACTGGCTGGAAGACTTGATCTCTGCACAGTTGGCTGCTACTTCTCTTCAGCTCTCATCTCAAACATCTTTCTCAGAAAAACCTCCTTGATCCATCTATTAAATGCTACCTTATCTCTACCTTACCTCCCATTATTCTCAATTTTTATTTTCTTCAAAGCACTTACTTCTATCTGTAATTATGTATTTGTTTACATATTGTCTGTTTTCCCCACTTGAATATAATATTCCTAGCGAGTGAATCTCTATCTGTCTTGTTTACCTACTGTATTTCCAGTTCTGAGACGAGTGCCTGGCACATGGCAGGTGTTTAATAAAGGCTGACTGAATGAATGAACTGTAGTCAGCCCATTCTCCTCCCGACCCTGGGATACTAAAAGAACCAGGCTCAGGACCTTAGTTTTTATTATGTTTCCATCCATACTTTATAAAGAACCAATGGACATTTTAAGACTATACTAATTGCTACTAATTTTAAGATTTATTAGATGGTACACAAATATACCTGATACGATTATTTTATAGATTTATCCCAGTATGAATAATTTTCCCTCTAAAACTATTTCAATTCAGAATATCAAAGTAAATGAACAGAAAGTTATATTTATATTATATCTTTCACTATGTATACAAAAAAAAAAACTCCAAATAATTTTTACTATTATTTTAAACTAACGCTTTTTCTTTTTTCTGATTTCTTTTAGGTTTTCCTTGCCTTTGGTAGCTTCACTATGATGGGCCTTGATGTGGATTTTTACTTATTTAACCTGAGCAGGACTTACTGTGCTTCCTGAATATGTGAATTCATCTCTTTTATCACCTCTAGAAAATTCTCAGCCATTATCTATTAAAATATTTAAATATATATTAGGAGATCTATTTCTTAATATTTGTGATATTTTCCATTTCTTTATTTTCCTGTGTTTCACTCTAAGTTTCTTAGATCTGTCTTTCAGTTTACTAAATTTTTTTTAGTTGTTTAAGATCATCTATTTAATTCTTCTACTTAGTTTTTAAGTTCCAGAGTTATATTTCATTTCCAGAGCTCTGTTTACTGTTCTCTTGAATTTGCCTGATTTGTTTTGTTTTCTTCTCACATCTTCTCATTTATTTTGTATATTTAATCATTTTAAGTGTATTTATTTTATAGTCTCTATTCAGTAATACTATTGAGGTTCTAATCCTGCTGTAAATCATCTCATGTCTGCTGATGCTGGATTGTTTCTCTGGGTTTTGTAATTTGCACTATGAGCACATATCAGCAGGATTTTATCTGTGGGAACACTGTGTGAGTTGGGTTCAGGGTGCATACCTCCAAGAATTGGAGACCCTGTGGCCTTGGGGCCACATGTGGCCTTCTGGATCTTTCAATGTGGCCTTTTGACTGAATCCAAATTTTACAAAAGGATTTTATTAAAAGGATTTGTTTAGGAAGTTTGGATTTGGTCAAGGGGCCACACTTGGGGATCTGGAGGGCCACATGTGGCCCCAAGGCCACAGGTTCCCCACCCCAGCCAGGACCACTGTTTATGTTTTTTTTTTTTTCAGTTTGAGCACTGTAGGTACTATCAATTCAAATACTAAAACACAAATGAAGGCATAAGAGATGACATTTACATTGAACTAGTAAAGCATGTGCACTGAACAGAAGAGACTTTTTTCCCTTCCCCACCCAGAGACTAAGTTAAAACAGAAAAGCCTCCTTGACATCTCAGCCTCTTATGAAGGTGGATGGAGTTTTTCCTAGTCTACTATTTTACTGAAAGGTGTGGTTCTTTGAAGGTGCCCTGTCTACACTTTGCTGTTATGCTGTTAAAGCTAGGCCTTGTGCTTACTAAACTGCTTGACTGAGTGGAAGATGCTTATTGCTGTTTTTATACTTCCTTATTTTTGGCTCCCAAAGATTTCCCTCATTTTCTTGAGAGCTCAGTTATCCATTTACAAGATATTTATTATATTTTATCCAGTTTTTTTGTGTGTTTTAATGGAAGTTTTCAAATTTTTGATTTGTCCTAAAAGTATGTTCAAAATAGAACTTTCAAAAGGTCACTGACAACAACCTGTGAATAAACTAATACTATGCTTGAAAGCTTACCCAAAGCTTCATAAAATATGGCAAAAGTAATTTGTTTTAATTTGCTAATTTTTGAGGCCCACTGATAAAGGAGGATACAATCATTCATTTATTCTTTCATTCTTTCTACCTGTCTGCCTACCTCTGTGCCTAATCATTCTATATATACATACATACTTGCATCCAAAGAAAGTTCCCTCATGAATTCATATGTAAAGCTGCATTTTATCTACAAAAACATGTTAAACATCAGCTATTAAACTATAGTATGTTTAGATTTCTATGTAACCTCCTAACTTCGTACAGTAAATTTCTTATTAAAGGTGGTATGTAATTGGAATTTTTCTAATCTACATAATCATTCAAATAGATTGGAAGGGCTTTTTAGTTTAGTGCTATGGTTCTTAATAGGAGAGGGTGAGAAGAACTAACAATCCTCCACAGGGGATGTTTGGAAATGTGTCAGAGCCTTTTTGATGTTTACAGTGACTGGTGTGTGCTAGGAGCACATAGTTCCTGGGGACAGATATGATAAAAATCATGCAATGCACAGGTTATTTCTGCTAAAACTTCTCCCATTGATAAATACTGCTTTAGAAAATTCCAGGCCATATTCTTTATAATACAATTTAATAAAGATAAAGAAAAAACTTACGGAGCAGCATTGCATTTCACCCTCGTGTTATGATCTGGGATACAAATATCTATAAGATACATAGTCTCTCTGCTCTCTAGAAGTGCATAGTCTACTTCAGAAGACAGCTAAAAAGCCAACTAACTTTTTAAGGTGAACAATTACCTCCAAATTATCCTATTTTAGGTGTATGCCTTCCAATGAGGAATTTGTTTGACATAAGGTATACATATCCTAAATAAAGTTACGCCTCTGACAAGGTTCCACGTGATCAATGCCTGAGGAGAGGTTGCATTATAAAGAGGATGCCATCTAAAACCAGTGTTACACTGTTTCCTCTACATTAAGGTCACACATATAATAAATGCTAATCTTGGATATTTCCTCTTAATTTTTAAATGGTATGAAATTTATAAACAGATCTTATTCATCTACAATATTATGAAAACTTTTTTTTACGCATATGGGGATTTTTATAATAATCTTTACTATCCCTAACAGTTAAAATCCTTATGCTACTTACCTGTGCCACCCGTAGTTCTGTTAACAGATCTGTAAAACTCTGGTTTCTGGTGGGCTCTGAATCTTCAACTGCTTGAGATAGGGAACGACTTTTTTGCATCTGTTCTCTGATTTATTTTGAAAATAAAAGATATTTTTTTTGACAAGGTATTCCTTTTAATAGAAAATATTCAATTCTTAAAATTAAAAAAACTAATGAATGTTGTAACTATATGAGTAACTGAAGGTAAAAAATTTTATTTAATCTAAAGATTAAATATTAACACATACTAAAAGAGAAGTATACTTTAAGAAAATTGCTTATATTTGATCTAAAAGAATTGAAACCCAAGATTATTGGTTTTTTCATAATATAAAAATATTTCCTCCCAATTATCAGAGGAAAAAAAAATCAATGGCCCAGAAAGATGTGCTGGATTTTTCCTGCAGTGTTAATGTACTCCTTGTCACATTGTTCTTGTCTCCTTTCTGAGAAACACAAATTGCCAGTCTTACACATGGAAACTAACAAAGCCAAACACACTCTACTATTTGGACCTTAGAATCAATTTTTCTGTTTTTCAGAGACATTATACAAGGAGTTTAGGAAACTACACAAGATCATCTAACCTTAATATACTAAAGAAACCCTTTATTTCATTGTGAAAGTTAATTTAGAACTTCAGTTTTGGATTCTGAAATAGATCTCTTTTAGAAGTCAGGTAGTATAAGATGTGATATTTTAAAATATTTTATTGAAGCCTCTGGAAAGAAAGTAGATATTTACATGCTTTCATGTATTAGAATTGTGCAGATTATCATACTTGGCCTGGGGTTACACCTACCAGGAGAAAGGAATAATTAAAACAGAAAATTTACACAAAGATGCCCTCTACTTGCCAACCTGTGTAGCTGCTAGACTTGTCTGCTATAGGGTATGCCTTTCTCTATTTTGCATAAAAGATGTAGTATGAGTTATCAGCAGCCCCTGACTCTTATGCCCTAGGTTATATGACAAAAATAAAGGAAGAGGCGAGGTACAGTGGCTCACACCTGTAACCCTAGCACTTTGGGAAACTGATGTGGGAGGACTGCTTGAGGCCAGGAGTTTGAGACCAGCCTGAGTAACGTGAGACCCTGTCTCTACAAAAAAATAGAAAAGTTAGTCAGGTGTGGTGGCACATGCCTGTGGTCCCAGCTACTTGGGAGGCTGACGCTTTCTTGAGCCCAGGAGACTGAGGCTGCAGTGAGCCACTCTACCTTGGGCAACAGAGTGAGTGACACCCCATCTCCAAAAAAAAAAAGGGAAGAAGCATGTAAATAAATATGGAACATTCATGAAATTCATAGTCAAAGAAATTTCTTTTGATAACAGTCCTACCTGAGTGATTAGATGTTTCTGTAAAACAATGCATAAATATAGTAGTCATTTCCTAAAAGAAGACAGTACCCTAGTTTGTCCATATTTTGCATTCAGCTTTTTCACTTAATATGTTAACGTTGGAAGTAGTAATATCCAAAAGACCTCATAGTCTGAAATATGGTTTCTAAGTAGGTGCTGGTCCTCCATCATCCTGCCTGCTGTGGTGAGTATTAGCTGAAAACTCACAAGTTTTTCCTTCTATGGAGAAATGCCCTCAGCCAAACAGCAGCCCCTGCCCTATGGCCTGGAGGACACCCCCAGCCCCTCCTCAGGGCACACCTCAGTGACTGAGGCTACTCCTTTGCTTCAAGGGGAGACCACCTGTGGTACAATCTGTCCTCCAGAGCTCCCTGGTGGGAGCAGAATGAAGCCCAGTCTCTAGCTGAGACCTCATTCCTATTTACTTGCCTCCCCTACCTCCCCTATCCTGTCCTCTCCCCCATCCTGCTTTGCTTGCCCGCTTTTCCTGAGTATCCTTCAGTGGATCACCTCCACAGGGTCCCCATCTCAGGCTCTGCGTCTATGGAACCTGACCTAAGATAGTACATGATATTGTATATGTATTTTTTAATTTTATCAATCACATGGTACCTTAGGAAATAGTTAAGCACGTCAGGCTTAATTACTAATCAAAAAGAAATACTGTATACTCAATTTCCTGAAACTGATGTTTGAATCAGTTACAAATATAAATTCATATGAGTTCAAATATAAATATGTTGAAAATACTAAAGTATGTACTAGTCATCTAACACTAAAAGAAAAATCCATTCAATATTAAATACATAAAAGTTACTAAACTAGATATCAGTATATAAATGAAAATAAATAAATGTAAAAACAAAGTTCTACAATTTCTAAGTAATAATAAATGTGTTATTAATATAACAATAAAAAGCTTGAAATGGTCTAAGTATATTTGATGTTAAGAATTTCAAAAGGACTTACTTTAAGGAAGCTAATTCACTGAATAAACTTTGGTTTTCCTTAAACATTCGCTCCTCATTTTTCTTGTTTTGTTCTTGGAGATCTTTCACTTGATAGTACAGTCTTTCATTTTCCTTTTTAAAAATAGAAAATTGCATTTTAGTTAAAAGTCAGTAGTACTTAGATAATATATATGCTCATAGTAGATAAATCCTTTAAACATTTTTTTTTTTTTTTTTTGGAGACAGGGTCTCACTCTGTCATCCAGAGTGACAGTGGTGCAATTATAGCTCATTGCTTCCTCATACTCTTGGGGTCAAGTGATACTCCCACCTAAGACTCTTGAGTAGCTGGGACTACAGAAGCACACCACTAAATTCAACTAATTTTTCTTCTTCTTCTTTTTTTTGTAAAGACAGGGTCTTGCTATGTTGCTCAGGCTAGTCTTGAATTCCTGGCCTCAAGTGATCCTCTCACCTTAGCCTCCCAAAGTGCTGGGATTACAGATGTGAGCCACTGCACCCGGCTCCTTTAAACATTTTTAAGGTCTTTTAAATTTCTTTGAGTATACAAAATCTTTTTCAAACTTTTTATATTATCTCAGAAGAAAACTTGGTATCTAAAAACAATTCTTTCCAAATGCTTCAAATATTTACTTGAAAAAACAATTTGCAAAAATTCCCAAAGCCAAAGAGCCTCATGTCTGCATAAGGCACTGCATTTCAGTAAGTGAGAGAGTGGCTGAAGAAATCATCACATTCTGACTGCATGGACCAGCAGCAGGAAGGCACAGCGGGACTTTTTATGCTCTCTTTTGTTTCTGGCCTTGGAGAGGGATAAACGTCACTGCTGGAGGAAGATTCTAGAAGCCTGCCTTCCAGCAGTGAAGTAAAGACTAGGTGTTTTTGAAAGCTTTCAGGACAAGGCAGAGCAGAGAATAGACCCAGCTCATGACAAGGCTTGAGCTAAAGTGTGATTCAAACCAGTTGAGATTAGCGGTAGAAGAGAAGGTACCAATCGGCACTTAGATGCTCTAGCTTATTAACCTCTTTAAAGTTAAGAATCTGATGAAAATGAAGGGTTTTTGAGGATCTAATGAAAACTCTGGACTGTTTCACCATATCTGGAATGGTGCCTGGCAGATGGTCTGTGATTAAATACATGCAGAATTACCAAACTCCCCCACCCCAAGTACTCAGATACATAAATTTTGTATTATCTTTGTAGGAGGGGGTGCATGGCATACTTATGGGTCTGTGAAATCTTCTTAGAAACTCCTGTTTTATATGGCAAGATTAGACTGGCAGGAGAAGAGTGAAAGGTTCCCACTATCTCAAGCGCAGTGCATCCTGCAAAATCAGTCTGTTTGATTTATAGCAAAGGTAACCATTGATGTGGCAATGATTTCTCTGGATGTCCCTGGTTGACAATGCATATTACTAGCAGGCTCAATGCTCAGGCTACAGTTGTCAAAAGAGAAGAATGTAATGAAAGAAAAGGAGAAGGAAGAGAAGTAAGAAAGAAGAGGGTGAGAGGCAGAGAACAAAGATAAAGTCTTATGCTGCAGATCATTAAACCTGTCCAGGCTGACTGTCAGGCCAGCCTCACCAAGATTCTATCATACATTGCAAGTATCTGCAAACACACAGATCTTTTTATATTACATTCAAAATTTGCTTTTTTTTTTTTATACTCAGGGCATTAGTAATTGATTTCAGATTTGTATTTTTGAATATAATAGCAAAACTAGCCAATATTATCTACTGAAAAGCATTACAGAAAACTAAAAAACTAAAAAATAAAAAATAGGGCAGTTTCTAAGGAACATGGCTATTAAAAATAAAAACTGGTAACATTCATTGATTGGTAACTGTGCCAGGCTAAGAGGGTACAGATGCTCCTTGACTTAACGGTGGGACTATGTCCTCATAAACCCAGCACAAGTCAAAAATATCCTAAGTCAAAAATGCATTTAATACCCTGGGGTAAACCCATTGCAAAGTTAAAAAATAGTAAGCTGAACCATTGTAAGTCTAGATGGTCCTATCTGTATTACTATCCCCATTTCACAGAGGAAGAAATTGGCTTAAATGGTGAAGTGATTACCAGCAGGTGGTAAATCTAAGGCTCTAAGCCAGATTCTTGGAATTCAGAACCCATGCTCTTAGCCACTTTAATTCTGCCTACGGGAAATGTGCAGACTAGTCAAATTATTACTTCCTCTATTTGCCAGAATTCTCATTACCTATTAAATGAGCACAGAAATATTTTAATATGTCTTATTTTTATAATTAAAGGATGAAGAGCAAATTTGCCGTGTGCCGAAGAATTGCCATACCTGTTGATATCCTTGAAGAAGCGTCTCTTGTTCTTGTATTTCCTTTTGGATTTGCTTCAATTTTTCTCCAGTGACAGGATCCGTTGTTTCTCCAAAATGTAACCACCTTTGTTTTTTGTTTGTTTCTTCAAAGCTACTTAACTTTGAGAAAATGCAGAAATTGTTTTACATGGTGAAGAAAATGATGAAGAATAAAAAAAAAACGTAAGGTGTTTAGACCCCAAACTATCTTACAATATTGACCACACTGGAATGTGACATAATTATAGTCAAATCAGCAGTGAGGTTTTGTGCTGATGGTTCTGGCGAGTGAAGTAACTCAGAAATGCTACACAGTGACAGTCTTCTATCCATCAAAATGAGCCAATTTAAATTTAGATTTCCCCCCAGAGGGTTTGATTAGGCTCTCAGGTAAGGAGGCACTCTCAAAACCATGTCCATATTTTATACAGCAAATACATCAGGTAAAACGCTCTAGGAACCAAAGATACTAATGCATTTAGCAGGGAGTGTAAGTTTTTTTTT